TGGTGATGATGGTGATGGTGATGATGGTGATGGTGATGATGGTGATGATGGTGATGGTGATGGTGATGACATCTGATGGCTCCGATGCTCGGCCATCACCACATCCTTCCCATCTAGAGGGAGTCAATCTGCTGCAAGGAGGACCAGTGTCCTCCTCCTGTAGACTCGTGTCAGTGGTCTGGGAAAGCAGCTTTCCTTTTTAGCTATCCCTGAAAGAATGATATGGGTGCTTTCAGGGGGTAACTTCTTCCTCATATCTGTGCAGAAAAAGTGCAAACGCCAGAGGTGATAGCCTTGAAGGAACCTGGCAGAAAATCGGACTTGGCTTAGGTCTTTCTGGATATTTTCTAACACGAGTGGGAATGATTGATGGTTCCTGTCCTTGGCTCGGTGGTCATACAAAGACCAGATGCGGTCCTCTCCAGACTTGGGAAGCCAGTCCCAGAAAGGGAGGCTTGAAGACCTCAACAGGTGATGGAGGAAGCTAAGCAGATCATTTTGGATGGGGGAAAGATTAACATGAGTTCCTAGAAAGGCCCAGAGTGTGGGGTAAGAGAGGAGAAGACGGGCTGGGCCAGAGAGCACGTCTCTTCAAGAGACAAATGGAAAACAGAGATAGAAAGCCCAGTAGGAGCCAAGCCACAAAGACCAACAATCGGATGCTGTGGTCCCTTGCTGGTGAACCTGAAAATGCACTGGCCGACCATACTTCCCATTTTCTTGCAGGCTCCCACAGATCAACGCAAACAGAAGCACATAAGCTAAGTAGAATTGCTAGATAAACAACGAACAACTTCCTAACACAAGTATGTCCCAGATACTGTAAAGAAAGGCTTCTTCTGTACTTACTATCCATCCATCCATCCATCCATCCATCCATCCATCCATCCACCTTTCAAACTACAGGGCATTATGCACTCTTATCTGCTATCTGCCAGGTCTGGCAAACTCAGAGCTGAGGGTCTCAAGAGGCTGCAGAGGGTGGCTGTGGTTTAGTCAGAGAAAGGTGTGGAGGAAGAGGCCACATTAATATTTGAAAAAGGAACACTCTTGGAAGCCTAAGGTTGATTTCTCAGTTGTACTCCAAGAGGGACCGCAAAAGATATCTAGCACCTAGAAGTACTTTCTGAGTGATACATAGTAGCCCTTTCTGTGGCTATATGGCCCTGAGACACTGCAAAGAGCCAGGGAAATCCAGAAGAAAACCCAGGAGGTCGCCTGCAGGCATGAGAGGCAGAGGAGGATGAACAGTGAACTCTCTACCTTGTGTCAGATGGACAGCTGTCCCCATCACCTGGAGGTTCCGGAAGTGTGACACTGTTGCCCACTAGGGTCACTAGCCCAGACTGCTTTCATGCCCCTAACACTCTTGACTGTTCAGAGCTCTGTCACCCCACCCCTCCCCCTCCTGTCTCACCGGTACCTCTTTTCCCATGCACCATTCCTGTCTCTCCCTCTGTTTGGCCCTATTTGCTTCTTTCACATCTCAGTTTGTGCCCAGCCTTCAACCTGGCACTTCTGGAGGGTTTGTGCCACCCCCTTCCCATCCTGGCTTCTTCCATCCTGGATTCTTCGTTCTTTCCCAGGTCACTAAGGCACCTCAGCTCCAGCCCCACAGTATCTATCTACTCTCAGTGGCTGCTGCCCCTGGTGCTATTTCACTGTCATTTGAAATGAGAGTCAAGCACCTTTGGAAGCTATAAATGAAACGAGCAGCCAGGAAACCTTCTGGGCCTGGGTGATGTCCAGAGGGGAACAGGAGGCCTCACCCTCATGGTCAGAGGAAGCAGCTGGGCACCCATCCCCCTCCTGCCTTGAACATCTGATGAGGAGGAGCCTTACTGAGAGCCTGCTGCCCCTTTGGCCCCAAAACAGAGCCCCAAACAGAGAGAAAGAAACAATGTATCCATTTGCTTGCCTCAGTGAGTTCAGAGAGGCCACTTTATACCAACTGTGAAAATACTGACTTTGTCTTTGAGAGAGATGCAGGCAAGCTTGGAGTCACTTCCAATCTGAGATTTCCCTGAGTCAGGGAGAGGCTCAGGCAGCTGGAAGGACAGAGAAAGGAAGCAGGGGAAAATCTGGATGTCTAATGACGCTGTGCCCCCTGCATGGACAAGGAGGGCCCTGCGTCCCAAGTCAGCAAAATCAGTTACATTGTAGTGGGAACGGGAGTCAAAGAGTTATAATTCCTGTAAGGTGATGGGGGTACTTAGGGAAAACCCAGAGCCTGTGCGGGCCTCAGGATGGTGAAGTTGAGCAGGCATTTAGAACCAGGCGGTCAGGTGTGCCGGAGCATCGCCTGAGCCTAAGAGATCTCTACCGCAGGTCTATAGACTGTGCTTACTTGGAAAGGATTGTCCCAGCTGGGCTTTTTGACTGTTTACAGCTCCTCATCAGGGGTGGGAAAGACTGGGGCCCTCGCCTGAGTACTCAGGACTCCCTAACACCTGTGGTATGCAAAGCTGCCATAACTGCACAGGGCTAGAATATCTGTATCTGTACCTGTACCTGTACCTGTACCTGTACCTGTACCTGTACCTGTACCTGTACCTGTACCTGTATCTGTATCTAGTCAAGGAAGACTAGAGGAGGGGAGGCTTTCTGTATTCGGCTATAAGAAAGCCCCCATTCCTGCTGGGTAAAGTTTTTGGGGAGAAGAACCTATACTGCTGTATATAACTCCTGTGCTCTGTACTTAAGCCCAATGAACTTGTTTCCTACAGTGAAGTCTGCTAGGACAGTGCTTCCTTCTCTAGTTAGAATCTTAGGAGAGGTTGACTGTCCCTGGGAAGGACTTTTAGCAATGTCAGGGGAGATCTCAAGGAAGAAGTGACATTCAAGAAAGTTAAAGGCAGTGCCCGTAGGTATCTGGGAGAAACACAGATCTGCCTGGTTTGTTGCAGCGTTCTCTTCACCAGGACATGAGCCAGGAGCTGCTTAGGGAGGACAGGGTTCTCTTGCATGGTGGTCCTAGCTCACTAATCACTTAGCACCTGGGGCAGATGCTGCCAGGGTGACCACTCCCCGTGACAAGACCAGCACATCTCCTGCCAAACCCCAAAGCCATTGCAAAGCCAACTCTTCTTATCCTATTCTACTCCTGTGGCAGCTTAGCTGTGCCCGCCCGGAGCTTGGCATTCAGTCACCAGCTGTTCTCAGCCTGAGAGGAAGTTCATGTAGGCCCCCTTGCTGCACAAGGAGATGGTGTTTGTATCACAGTTGAAGTGAACCTCTTTTTTCCCAGTGACCTCACAAACACAGCAGCGACTTAAGAGACCTGCTGTCGCTGGATGTGTCCAGGCAGAGAGGCCTGGAAGTGTGGGGACTTGGGATCAGCATTCAGGCCAGAGATTGCTGGAAAGTCCCAAGGTTCAAGCCATACCCCAGGTCCCTTATGAAGCCACCCCTTCTGGGTTCTGTAACTTTGTGAGGTGATTCCAAGGTGTGGACCTTGTGAACCTCTTGTGGGCGCTCATGGAATTAAGGAAGCTAAATCCTCCCCAACACCCACTGAATTTGGGTCTGCATTTCAATGAGAACCCAGCTTGAGCTGTTCTTGCAAGTGTTGACTACTATGGAGGATGAACTGAGGGTGTGTGTGGGAGGGCGGGGCTGACAGAAGGAAGTTTGGGAGCAGGACAGAGAAGGTGTATGTGGGCCATATCTGGCTCCACCACAAGTCCAGGAGGCTTGCCTGTGGATACTTTTTGAACAAGAGAGACAGGGATGGGGCTGTATAACTCTAAAGAGACTTCTGGTCAGGGCTCCGTAGTGGGAATGGGATCCAGCGGTGGGGCTGAGCTTGCAGGTTCTGGACTGGCCCCAGGTTTACAATCCCAAACACTCCTTGTGAAATACAAGTGACTCAGACATTCCAAGGAGAGTGTGTGTTCCCTCTCCTTGGAGAGGTATACTCCAAGGAGACAGTATTTCCCGTTTCTATAACCTGGTTCGCGTGGTTAATTAAAGAACTGACTGGGCTGAAGCCGGGACACAGACTGGGAATTCTTTCGGGCGGCCTCAGCCCATCAAAGCCCCGGAGTGATGTTATTCCTGGAGTTGCCACCAGAGGGCAGGCGTGCCCCTATTTCCCAACGTGCTACAAAAGCCAAGGGCAGCTTGGGGAGGGCTCGGGCTGCCCAAATCGCAAATACCAACAGATGGGCCTCTGGCGGGTGGTATTCCAGTGAAGTTCCGGCACCCCGCCCCTACCCTCCTGAGGCCTCAGAGGAGTCCGTGGGTGGAAAGCAGGTGAGTGCCTGTGTGGCTTCTGCTTTATACTCTTAGTTGTTTTGGCTAACAGTTTGAGAGAATAAATTCTAGAACATGAAAATGAAGTTTGGCAAATCTCCAAAGGCTCTTTTATGGGAGGTCAGGCCATAGGCGTGGCCTGGAAGGGAGGCAGGAAAGATTAGGTCAGGTAGTGTTTCCAAGCTCGGCAATCACATAGCCCCATCTCAAAGGTGAAGTAGGCCATGGGGTATGGACCAGTCAGGGCTGGGCTTGCTTTGCGTACAATCCACGGTGTGCTCAGGCTTTGGAAGGAAGAATTCGGGATGGGGGACAGAAGAGACTTTGTTCTCTCGGAATGAGCCCATAGAGACTCTCACAACTAGGGACTCTCTAGTTCTCCTAAAAAGGTTCTTCACAATGGGGAGTGTGAAGGCAATGGGGACGATTTCCCTAGGGTGTCCGGGGCAGAAGACAGATATAAATAGACAAATATAGATTGTCATCCGTTAAGTTCCCAAAGAAAAGCTCGGAGGGGAGGTCAGAATGAGTCTAGAAGCTGAGCTAAGCCTGGAACACAAGGCTTTCACCCCATGTCTGGCCTGCGCAGGAAGCTTCTCCCCGGTGGCTCAGAAGCTTTCTTGGAGCGGAGTTCTCCAATAATTGACAAAAACAATAAGCAAATGCCCCCAAATATACATAAACCCACAACCCTGTGTATAAGGTTTCAAGAGATGCAGAGACTCCTTGCCCCTCATGGAGGTTCATCAAGGGAGACCCCCTGCCTAGCTTCTTAAAACTCAGGGTCGTAAGGGTCGCTGTACTTGTTACTTGTTAACTCAACACAAGCTGGGGTCATCTGGGAAAACAGAACCTTGAAAAATGCCTCCTTCATCCTGGCCTGTAGGCAGGTTTGAAGGGGCAGCTTCTTTTTTTTGTTTTTTTGTTTTGTTTTGTTTTTTTGTTTTTTTTGAGACAGGGTTTCTCTGTGTAGCCCTGGCTGTCCTGGAACTCACTCTGTAGACCAGGCTGGCCTCGAACTCAGAAATCCACCTGCCTCTGCCTCCCAAGTGCTGGGATTAAAGGCGTGTGCCACCACCGCCCGGCTCAAATATACTTAACTGGGTGTGGGAAGCATGGCTTTTTGTTTTTTCTTTTTTCTTTTTGATTTTTTGAGACAGGGTCTCTCTGTGTACCTCTGGCTGTCCTGGAACTCATTCTGTAGACCAGGCTGGACTCGAACTCAGAAATCCACCTGGCTCTGCCTCTCAAGTGCTGGGACTAAAGGCATGCAACACCACTGCCCAGCGGGCAGCTTCTTGATTAACGAATGGCAGCCCACTATGGGTAGTGCTACCCCGGACAGGTGGTTCTGGGTTGTGTTTTTAAAAAACTCAAGCTGAGCCTTTAATCCCAGCACTTGGAAGGCAGAGGCAGGTGGATCTCTGTTAGCTCAAGGCCAGCCTGGTCTACAGAGCTAGTTCTAGGATAGCCAGGGCTACACAGAGAAACCTTGTCTCTAAAAACAAAACAAAAAAGCAAGAACAACAACAAAAAAAATCAGGCTGAGTGCTAAGGAGAACAAGCCAGTAGGCAGCATTTCTACGTGGCTGTTTCAGGTCCTGCATCCACGTAGTTCCTGCTTCGGCTTGTCTTGATGATGGATCCAACCTGTAAGGTGTGATAAGCCCTCTCCTCCCCACATTGCTCTTAGTCATGGTGATCATAATAGCAATGAAAACAGACTGGGACAGTCACATGACTGAACGCCTCCTGAGAGCCACAGTAAAACTCTCTTCCTACCCTCAGAGTGGTCTAGTTCAGTGGCTTCTCTGCAGTGTCACAGTGAGAGGGATGAACAGTCTGGCAATAGTTAAAGGTTGCTGAACACAGAACTAACTAACTAAATTTAAATAAATTGATGGGGCAGAAAGATGACTGAGGGCAGAGTGGCTGCCGGGCAAGCACGAGGAGCTGAGTTCAGTCACTAGCACCCGTGTAAAACGCCAGGCAGGCAGGGACAGGCAGGCAGGCAGGGACAGGCAGGCAGGCAGGGACAGGCAGCTTCCTGGGGCCCCCTGACCTGCGGGGCCTTGTCTCCTCCGTGAGCTCAGGTTCACTGAGAGACCCTGTTTCAAAATATGCATTGGAGAATGATCCAGGGAGACATTTCATTGACCTCTGGCCCCCAGTTACATGTGAACACACATGGACATACATTAAAAACATAGAAGGGTCTGAAGTGGGTGAGGATACCACAGTGGCAAAAACACTTGTCTAAGCATGTGTGAGCCCTAGGTCCAGTCCCTGGTACCATGCCCACCAGTGTCAAACATGGAGGAACGAATCATCCTGTACCACCAAACCTCACTATATCGCCTTGGATCTGATCACATGCTGTCATGCCACGAGATAATCAATGGATACTTCCCAAAACACTCAATCTTGGAGTGAATTAGGAATTACAGTGTTTCAAGTCTATTTGCAAAGCTGTTAGAAAAACACAAATGTTTAACTACAGGAAATAGAAACTTTTAATATTTCTCTATTATTTTCCTCAGTACATATTAAATTAGTATATCTTTAGACTACATTATATTAGAATGCTTTTTTAAAAATATTTATTTATTTATTTTATGTATATGTGAGTACACTGTCACTGTTTTCAGAATACCAAAAGAGGGTATCAGATCCCATTACAAATGGTTGTGAGCCACCATGTGGTTGCTGGGAATTGAACTCAGGACCTCTGGAAGAGCAGTCAGTGCTCTTAATCACTTAGACATCTCTCTGGCCCAGCATGTTTGGTTTTTTAAATTGCTCATTAAGAGTTAAGATGCTGACAAACTTCATTTTAGTACTGCTAAAGGCCCAGCACTCAAGAGCAGAGGCAGACAGATCTCTGAGAGTTTGAGGACAGCCTGGTCTACATAGTAAGACCCTTTTCTAAAAATAAAAATCATTAAAGAAATTTTGGCTTGGGGTCAGGACAGACTCTCCAATAATCTGAAACAGCCCTAAACATACCTCTGTCATTTTGTGTGATATATTTATGTAAGGTGATGATCTCAACATTGGAAATTGAAAAAGAAAACCAAACTATTGAAGATGTTGTACCCTAGAGTTTCAGAGACTCAGTCATGATGTAATTCTTTCTGTAAACATAAATACACCTATTTCATCTCATTAGTATGAAAATTTTCTTTATAGTCTTTCATGAGAAATTATATGTATAGCAGAGAATCATTTTAAATAAATTCCTTTATGATTTATTATCAGTAAATATTTGATTTGTATTCCTATGTACCTATGGCTGTATAATAGGTTCCCTGTTCTTTGCTTATAAGTGGGGCAGGTTTAAGCGGGTCTGGTCTGGCCACAGGCTCTGTTTCTATGATGCTGATCACTGGTGCCCTGGAAGCCACTGGACTTGGTGTTGGCTTTGCCAGTCAGCAAATCCTGGACACTTCTTTGTTTTTCTTTATAGTGTTCATTGAAGATGGCAAGAACACAGTCAGAGAAGCCCATGAGGATGACAGAAGCCCAACTCTCACTGATCTGTGCTTCATTGTTGTTGGCTTAACAGACACATACATGGTATGTTCTATGTACTGGGAGCTGTTCTGGGCACTTCAAAGGTTAATTTATAGCCAAATGGTGGTGTCTCATGCCTTTAATTCTAGCACTAGAGAGGCAGAGGCAGGCAGGTCTCTGTGAGTTTGGGGCCAGCCTGGTCTATGTGGCAAGTTCCAGGACAGCCAGAGCTACATATGAAACCCTGTCTCGAAAATGAACAGATAGACAGACAGACAAACAAGGGACAGGAGAAGATATGCTTGGCTTTGATGGCAATTAGTGTCTCCTAACTCCAGGCTCATGTTGACTAAACCATGAGTCCAGTCTTTTGTGTCTTAGTTTGTTAATCTTAAAAATGGGATCCCTGACTTTGAAGAGGTGCTAGGAGGATCTGGAATATTAAAACCAGCATACATGAAGCTAGCATGTGTCAGGACAATGATAGTTTCCATATATGCCTTAGCAGGAGATTTGACAGGTGGCAGAATACATAGTGTTCTATATCTAGACACTGTGCAGAGTGTTGGACACATGAGGGGAAGGGAGCCTTCCTCTCCACAGGGCCTGGACCCTTGTAAATTAACTCTGACTTGCAGTGGGCTCCTAGCCTTAGACTACTCTAGACACGCTGCAAGAAAGGGAGACAGCCCAGTTAAGCATGACTTTTCCAAAGAGACACAATCCTGTCCTGTGAGAATTGTCAATCCAACGCCCACAGGGACACCCTTTAACTGAATGTCGGAGATGGGTCAGTGGGGCTTCCTCTCCCTTCTGGGGTGAGCCATGACATCAGGGAGAGCACTTACGTGTCAGCTTTATCTCCTTAACCTGATTCTAAGAGGCAACCCATGCCAGCACACACAGGCCCAGAACACATACACATACTTCAGAAAACCAACCCTTGGGCTGGATGGGAGAGGCTTTTCACCCAGCCCTTTGAGGAAGTGAATTCACTTCCATTTCTAAGTGAGCAGCTTCAGGTCTACAGTCAGTGCTGAAGGTTCGAACCACTGGGAGAAGGCAGGAGGCAGTGTGCAGCTGAGACCACAGAGGCTAATATGTGTTTGTCCCAAAATCTTACATCTCTTGAGTCTGCAGAAATATCAGCTCTAAGAGAGGCCTCACGGTGTGGTGGCCAGAGCAGGAGTGGGGAGGCAGGAGATACCCTCTGCTTGGCAGGCTGCTAAACTCCTTTGACCTCTGTCCCCTCTTAGGGGACTAAGAACATTCCCTACGTATCTCTGAACAGCTAACAGGTAGGAAGGATGTGGCAAAGTGGTCCCGAATCTTGGCAAGGGCTTCAGGTTGACTGAAGGGAGAAGATTACAGTTAGATTAAGGGCTCTCTGCTAATCTGTGAACCGGCTACAAATCTAAGGACTTCCTTTATGCTAGGCTTTGCCAACTAGATGAGACCAGCTACCTGACACAGTGGGAAGAAGTTGTACATTTTAGATCCTGGATGCCTCCACAGGTGACTGGGGCTCTCATGGTGAACACCATAACCCCCACCCCCCCAGGGTGTATATCTTCCTCCCTCCAGGCTGAGCTCAGGTGCCCAGTCCCACTCTTGACCACCAGAGGCACTCTTCTGCCATCTAGTGGTCTCCCAGGGCTGTACACCATGTATGCTGTGAGTTGGTAGAGATTGTTTTAATACTGTATCTGTGAATTGATTGCTTAGTCAATTAAAAATGTGGGGCTCCTCCAGAACTATGGAAAAATGACATTGCTTGTGATCAATATTGTATCTAAATTTTGTACCTAAAGCTCTATTTGATAGTTCCTAGAGAAACCCTTCTAGATTCTTGCTACGTAAAGGTGGCACGCTCTGAGGCAAAGCTGACTTCTTTCTTTCAGGCTGGCTTTGTGGGGAGCAGTGGGGTGCCAGTGGTGCTTGGAGGTTGTACTGACTGGTTCTGTGTGTCAACTTGACCCAAGCTGGAGTTATCACAGAGAAAGGAGCCTCCCTTGAGAAAATGCCTCCGTGAGATCCAGCTGTAAGGCATTTTCTCAATTAGTGATCAAGGATGGGAGGGCATTGTGGGTGGTGTCATCCCTGGGCTGGTAGTCTTGGGCTCTATAAGAAAGCAGGCTGAGCAAGCCAGGGGAAGCAAGCCAGTAAGTAACATCCCTCCATGGCCTCTGCATCAGCTCCTGTTTCCTGACCTGCTTGAGTTCCAGTCCTGACTTCCTTTGGTGATGAACACCAGTGTGGAAGTGTAAGCTGAATAAACCCTTTCCTCCACAACTTGCTTCTTGGTCATGATGTTTGTGCAGGAATAGAAACCTTGACTAAGACAGCGGTATGCGGGTGGCACTTAGCTTTGACCCGTGGCAGTGAGGAGCCTGGTGCTGTTCCCACCCCTGTTCCCTTGTTCTTCCTCAACTTCATGTAAGTCAGCTTATAACCACTCTGCAGGAAACTGGCTTTTCCCATACCACCTGATCGTACTGCTGCCTGTTCATCCACTCACTGGGCCATTCTAGTTGGTCCTTTATTCTGCCCTCATGCCCTCTACCCCAGACTCAGTTGATCTTGTTCTTGCTAGAGGAGCTTCCTGGCCCAGGGCTGGGTTTAGATGTGGGTTAGTAGACCTCAGAGGTTGTCCAAGGCGGTGAATTTATTGTTTTCCCAATCAATGACGACATGGATGAAGGGGGCTGTGGAAGTGTGGGGGTGGAGGGACAGGAGATTTCTGGAGAGCACCTCCTCAAGATATTCTGCACAGAGACTATTTTTAGGCTGTGGCTTAATAGGCCCTCACTGCTCCTTCTCTTGGCTCCCAGCTATTGCTTACTGTCGTCAGATCTTAAACTATTTCAGTCCTTATTTAGAGGTGTTTGCTATCTTTGGTCTATCTTCTTTTTCTAACTTGACATGTCAAAAAATGTCCCCGGGCCCCATTATGTTGTCTTCCACTGAGTCTAGAATTCTGGAGAAATATGCTGTTGGTCTCGCCTCCCGTTAAGTCTGTTGGGGACCCACGCTTCATCCAAGCGCCTCCTGTCTGGGAGTCCAGTTATGAGTGGAAATTAGCTCTCCCTTTTAGTTGTGTCTCTCTGTGTGTGAGTGTGCGTGCATGTGCATGCATGTGTGTGAGAGTGTGTACACACACATAGGTGACACTAGACATATGTGAAGGACAGAGGCCAACTTGGCATAGTTCTTTCTTCTACTATCTGGGTTCTGGGGATCAAATGCAGGTTGTCAGATTCTGCAGTAAGCATCATTACCAGCCAAGCCCAAAACTGGCTCTCTTTAGGCTGTGACATGCTGTATATGAATGCCCCACATCTACATAGCAATGTACCATCCAAAAGATAGGTTCAATCAGCCTATGAGTGTTCCTCCATCCTTTGCCATGTGACTCAATTCATGCTCATAAGACATTAGGCAAGACCTGCTGGAAGCTTCTGGGAAGGATCTATATTGTTCTCAGGCCAATTAGGAAAAGCCTTCCTCACTTGCTAGATACAAACGAGCATGCATGACTACCACAGGCAGTTCTTGTGCCAACTGTGAAGCCACTTTTGGCATCTGGATGAAGCCAGTACTGTTGACAGCAGTGATAGGGGAATCTGGCCCTCGCTGACACTGATGAGTCTCTGGACCAACCTCAGAGCTGCCTTAGCACTGGATTCCATATTACAGAGGCCAGTGAGTTTGAGTGGACTTTCTGTTATTCACAGACCACAGTAACTAGCTGCCAGTAGACAGTCCTTGGAGGGAGAACATGGAGGAGACAATGACAATACAAATACGCATGACTTGGCAACAGAGTGCAAGGCATGAGGGAAGAAAACCAAGTCTCACAGCATTTTGCTGTCACAGGGTTTTGCAGTTGGGGCTGACACCTCTGCCCCCCTTCTCCCCCTCCCCAGACTGTCTGCTCCCCTCTGTGGATTCACACGGAGGTTTGTGTTATCACTCCTGAAGGAGGGAGACATTTGGTTGAGAGGTGAGCAGACACAGGGAGGGAAAGGAAGATGGGAAGGGGCCATGATGCTCCAGGCAGCTCCTTGGTTTGAGCTGCAGACTGGATGTGGGGAGGTGGACATGACAAGAAGGCAGAACGAGAACAGAGGGTGTAAGAAGTCCACAGCCAGCATGATCCAGAGTGGGACTCAGCGGAGAAGGGAATGTCCCATCCTCGCCTAATGGAACCCACTGTGTGAGTTCAGCTTCCGGTACCCCTGGGATGGTGTTCCTACAGTGGTCACTGTTGGTAGTAGTAGGATGTTTGTGGGCACCAGAGTGAGAATGAGAGGAAGTCAGAGCATGGGAGAACAAGGCCATCAACTGTATCGTGACTGTGAGTGACTGACAGAACTCAGGTAACTTAGAGGTGCCATGGACACATTGGTTCTTGTTGAGGTGGGAAGGGGGGTTAGGGCCACTGGTGGGTTATTTTGGTAACTGAAGGATCAAAACCAGCCAATTTCTATGCCCCACTGGTTTGAGTTGTTTCTACTTTGAGGAAAGAGTTCTTTGGGGGGCACGCTGTATTTGAGACTGCCATAGTGGGTCGGTTGTGGCTCTTCTGTCTGGATTTGAGTACTATCACCAAAAAGGCTATAAAAGAGAATTATCTGGGTAGAGATGAGAACATTTCTCCTTTCAAAGATGCAGCTAACTCAGGACAAGAAGACTAGATACTTCCAACTGGGCTTGATCAAGATCAGGCCTGAGCAGAAGGGCCAGCGCATGTTTCTATTGACGGAGGTTGCACTACTGCGTCTGACCACCAGAGAGCAATCGCACAGTGACTCTCCGGGTGCTCAGAGAAAGACCTGCTGACCGGGGGACAGGAGTTCACTGAGCTGAACTTCAGGAAGAGCAGCAGCGGAGAAATGGGCTCAGCTTTGTGGTCCTTTCGAGCACTGGCGGCCACTGTTGCATAAGCCATACACACACACAGCTGGTCCTGGTTCAGGACTCAGTCTTTAAGTCACAGGGGACTAGGGAAAAGCAGGCTCTGCGGCCTGATTCTTATTGCTCAGTCACTACTGCTACTCCAGACATGCCTCAGAAATGTCCTTCCTTCCTTCCTTCCTTCCTTCCTTCCTTCCTTCCTTCCTTCCTTCCTTCCTTCCTTCCTTCCT